AGAGAGTCATGGGACGTGGAGTATAGTGTGAGAGTGGAGTCACGGGAACTGTAATAGATATGTATGATATTGCGGGGGGGGGCAAGTGGGGTGGTGGATTGGGGCAGAGGGGTTGTCACTTCAAGGGGTAAAAAGTATAACTATTGCGCTGTGTTGTACAGCTGAAACTAATCTTAAAAAATGTGTTATTTCACAATAAAAAAAAAAAGAAAAAGAAAAAGAGATCTTGCCTAGCTCTACTAGCCTCAAATCTTATCACTTCTTCATAGATAACATTTTGTTTCAATCACATCAAACTCTTTAATTCCTTTAAAAGATGCATACTCTTTCATGGAGTATATTACACTCTGGGTCTGTTCCCTCTACCCAGAATGACCTTCATCTAAACCCCACTCTGCTTGGTTTACTTCTATTTGTCTTTAAGACATAGCACAAATTTTATCATCTCCAAGCAGTCTGGATTAGATGTTCTTCTTTTCTGTTTCCACTGTACCCTCCTACTCATGCATCTACTACAGCCTTTACATCATTTTATAATAGGGAATTTACTTGTCTGTTTTTCCCTAGTGTGCTAGACTTGTAAATTCCTTATGCTATCATGTCCTTATTTCCAGAGTTGGGCACATTGTAACTAGCCATTAAGTTAACTATTATGAAGCTTTCCCAAAACATTCCTAAGACCCACCTTTGGAGATTCTGCTTCAGTGGCATGTCTTTTTTTTTTTTTTAATGCACTACAAGGGGCTTTAAGAGACAGCCAGTGCTGAGAAGCACTATATTTATACTGAATAAATGGCTGACTGAATGGCAGTGAGGCACTATTTTGTCAGAATACAGTCTTGTTTCTATGAACTAAACTGTAGTCTCAATAAGCACAACTGTTTAAAAAAAAAAAACCCTCATCTGAACAATTTTACTGCCCGCCAAAATTTGCTGACTGATCCCACAAATATGAAAAATTTTAGTAATATATCACAATTTGTTTTTAAAAATAGGTCAAATAAAATGGTTGAGGAATGGAGATAAAATGATCAAATTGAAAAAAGAAAAATGATATTAGGACAGGGAGCAGAAGTATAGAAAAATGGTGGGGTTTTTTTAAACTACTTTATGAGTCATAAGATGAATTTCAGAGAAATGTTAAACAAGAAACTGTCTACCAAAATCCCTGGCATATAGACAGAGTTCAAAACATGCTAACTTTATTTAGCTAAATATGCCATCTATCGAATGTTGCTGCTTCTTAAGGCTATCATATCCACCACAGACACAGCCTCCCAAGGAGATATGCTTTTTTGCAATGTGGGCATATATTATTATTAATGGTGATAAATTAACAAATAATAGTAATAATTAAAGGTGAAAAATTTCAGAAAGTTATGTTTTCTACCTCTTATATTTTCTACTACTTTTAGCTGGATATATTTAAACTTTAACGAAATAGGAAATAAAGAAATAAATGAACAAACTAATGAAAGCAGGAGCAAACAAAGTTGGCAACTGTTTCCCAGTCCCTGCTAAAGCAGTATGATCTGAATTATCTAGCATCTCCTGGCTCTGGCTTTCAGAGTGTAGCTATGGTCGTGCACAAAGTATTAGATCATGTAGAAGAAAAACTGCATGTGCCCTACTAAAATTGGAACTCCATGCTAGTAATATTCAACTTGGGAAATGCTGTAAATTATAGTAAATTCAAAATTGGAGCACCCCAATTAGAAAAGCTTTAGAACTCAACAAATCATCTACAGATTATTTATTCTTTCCGTATCTGAATGTGATAGAATGAACATGAAACGTATGATCTTTAAAAGCAGCCTATTTATAATTGAACATTACCCAGAAATAGCCCAAGGAAATATTAGTATGTTCTCTGAATCTATGAATCTGTTTGTTTTAGATTCCATATATAAGTAAAATCATACAGTATTTTGTCTTTCTCTGTGTGACTTATTTCACGTAGCATAATACCCTCTAGGTCCATCCATGTTGTCATAAGTGGCAACATTTCATTCTTTTTTATTGCTGAGTAATACTCCATTTTATATACATACATCTTCTTTATCTATTCACCTACTGATAAGACACCCAAGTTGCTTCCATGTCTTGGCTTTTGTAAATAATGCTGCAATGAACATAGGCGGTGCATGTATCTTTTTCTTACTGTCTCTTATTCTTACAACACAAAACAGTCAGGATCACAGCAAATTGTCACACACAATGAAGACGTTGAGAAAATCCTTTGGCTTTGCAATTTACTTCTGGTAAACTTCTTATATCAACACAGGATGATAACAGAATACTATAAAATGCTACACATTTTTTGAATTTTATTCAAAATTACCCACCTTTAGTTTAGTCTAGAAAATCTGACTATAGCTTTTAAATGTTTCAAATTTTGCATGATCACAAGCTGGAGTATGTGAAACATCTAAAATTTAGAGATGTCTGAAAGATAATTACAAAATAAAAAAAATTCATATATTTAATATCTCCATATTTTCTTACTTACTACATAAAATCGGAGAAGAGGGTGTTTGCAGTGTCAAGGTGGAGCCATCTTTCCTTGTGATGTTAACTCGAAAAACCAATCTGGCACGAGTGCTTTTTTTCTTGGAACCAGCAATTCCTATTCTGGCTTCAACATCAGCATTCCTCAATTTCAATATCCCTACGCAGTCCACCCTAACAACAACAAAAAAAATAACCTGATATTTTCTGTTTACGCAGAATACAATGTTCTTAGGCAAGTTTATGTTTTTAAAAATTTTGCTTCCTTATTAATTTTTGAATACGTAATATAAGGTTCCAAATTCAAAAGATATACAAGGGTAAATTCTGAATCTTCATAATTCCTAATCTTGTCAACTTTTCATTTATAATGGAAAACAATAGTAAAAAAAAGTAAGACTATTCCAAAGTCTTGAATGTAAGTGTTTTTAAAAAAAAACAAATAAATTTAACCTCTTTCTTTTGGCAGTCAATTCAGATATTAAAATAGAGGAAATGGATTTGACTTTTAAAAATACTAGTAACCATCCCTAAAAGAATGGAACAATGTGTAGCCATTAAAATGTATGCTATAAGATAATATTTAATGTTATGGGAGAACGTTCATGATAAGGTGAAAAGCAGGTTACAAAACAGTGGGTACAGTATTAACTTAATTTTATCAGAAAAAAGGATGGAAAGATAAATATCAAAATAGTGGTTACTTCTGAGAAGCTGGCGTTTGGGGGTTGCTTTAGCTTTTTATTATTTTTACTTATTACTTTTTAATAGTCTATATTTTCAACTTACAATAAATAAGTACTATTTTTATAATCAATTATTCCCTTCTTTTCTTCAACTATATACATTATTTTATAATTTTCACAGTTTGAAAAATCTTTACTGAATATTTTTCAAAATTTTATTTTCCAATTAACCTCTTACTAAGCTATTCAAAATGGCTTTCAAAAGGAAGCTGAAAACCAAGTAGAGAAAGGTCTTTAGCTATACAATACAAATAATTACAAGAGGTCTACTTCATATCAATATATTTGCTGTTGTGATGGTTCAACTTTAGGATGAAAGGTCCGTAACGAAAGGCTTAAGGACAAAAAAATTTTAATTTAAATCATTAATACTTCTTATATTTTTCAGGCAATGAAAATGTATAAGATGAAAAATACATAGTCCCAGGACATAATTTTTTGTATTATAGGAAAATAAAAACAGAAAGTGAATTTAGACTACCAATATGCTTTTTCATGTTAAGATGGGTCAAGGCATCATGAATGGTCTGTGTTAAACAGTTTTTAATGCACACACTAAGAAAATAGATTTTAGGGAAGCAAATAAAATTGTAATTTTTATTTTTAATGTTAACATTAATTCCAACAAATAAGTCTACATTATTTTCCAACAAGCCAGCATTCCACCAGGCTTTTATTCCCCTGTGCTTCACAATGGGAACTCTCCAGCAAAGGGCAAAAGAGTGAATTTTAACCCATTATTCTGTAATAATGTATTTTTTATTTGTAATGTTGAAAACATTTTAATAAAACACTCAACGTCTTCTTTTATACATAAGAAATTAAAATTTTTTCCTGTCTACAGCAAAACTGTAATATATAATGAAAAAATTTTTACTAAATACTTACGCTAGTGTCATGTTGTTGCTCGGATCAAGGCCAACTTCTATAACAGTAGTGCCTTCAATGTCCACTTCTTTGCAGGGAGTTGTATTTCTCCCAGTTACCCTGCAGGCCTGATAAAATCCATGTGGTTTTACTCGACCAGAGTCGTTACCCACAAACACCTGCAACACTACTGGCTCATTATGGCCTTCCAGCTGGAGTGAGATAACATGGAGCATAAACACTAATTACCTTTCAAATAATCTAATGTAAAATCAAACTTTTAATACCAAGTCATATTCATAACTGGATTACAATAAATAAATAATTTAAATCCTCAAGAAAAACAGATACAATATTTTCATAAAGGAGAGTTGGCTAAGTTTCTGCAAAAAACCTTAAGTTTAAATTCTGCAACAATCAATTTTAATTACAAGTTTAGATGTTTAATGATAAATTATCATTCATAATTAATTTGCACAAGCAAATGAGAATGAATACACAGTACTTTAGAAATTTATAAATTTATGGACTGCCAAAAACCGTGTGCAATACTCAGTCAGGATTTAGCACCACCACGAATGGAAAAGGCACTAAACTATGTAGTGGCAGCGGCATCATCATCATCATCATCAAATGAGGGCACGTATACTAAATTTTTACTCTTTTAAAGCTATATTAGTAGAAAAGGGCTTAAAGTGATGCTATATAAATAATAAGGAAATGGAGCTCATTTTCAGACTAGATACATATATACAACATCATGAAATCCTGGGCCAAAACATTATGGTCTGAAAAGTTGCTAGATGGATCATTACAGGTCTCTAGCAAGCCTTCATAAATTAAATTATAATTTTATGCTAAAGAATAAATAAATATTTAAAATAGCATTTGGGAACAAACGTTTCCAACGTTGATTCTTGATATGGTTTACAGTTAAACACTGAAGCTGCTAATACAGAATGCACAGAATCACAAAATAACTTATACAATGTATACCAAAATGCTTTAAAAAACTCATACATCTTTTCTATCCCAGTATAGCTGTATTTCTGTGAAATGATATCATAATGAGGCAAATAAGCAATCTACCCAAATTGTTAGACAGCAGTACCTAGAATAGTGTCTGGCATATAGAGGGGTGCAATATTTGTTGAATGAATGAATAAACTTTTAAGGGAGGTCAATTCACTCCCTATCACAGGCCATTATCTAACAATACTTTTGATCAGACAAATACTTAGATAAAGCAAAACCTAAATCCAGAGCAATTAGGTTAAAAATATTGACCAAATTATCAAAAGCATAACTTAAATTTTTCACTTGCCTTGTTACTTGTTTTGAGTTTCGGGGCCCGAGGATAGGTTGGTGTAGTGAGTAGTAGAGGGGCAGAAATAATACGGTGCATGTAACTATTAACCAACCTTATAAATGGTCATGAATAAGTTTCCTAATCTCAAGTTTATACCATCATTTCATCCAAGTATAAAATGAAAGGCAGTCCAATTAAATATCGTTCAACTAACAAATTTACACAAATTTTATTTAACAAGAACCTACCATGTGACTAGACAAATTCCTCCCTGGCTGGTATTTTGTAAGGGGTTGGAATACTTGTTAAACATCCCCACCCCACTTTTTTCAGTTTGTCTTCAAAGAGAAATATTCTCTGTAACAAGGTATCCCAGGTGCTGAAATTTAAGCCCATTTTTTTTTTCTTTTAGCCCCAATTCTGAAAAGATGAAAACTCAGTTGACACCTTATTTCTTAAAGACTTAATTACCTATCAACCAATTGTTTTCTGAGTTGAATAGTCCTGATTACGCTAGCCATCTCAAAAACCTTATTTTCCAAGTCCATAATAATTTCTACAATATTTTTTTGAATTCACTTTAAAATTTCTTCTTAAATATAAATCTTGGTAAGAATCTAATATGGCTGTTACCGATGTCAAATATAAGGGGAAGGTAATTCATGATTTTCAGATATTTTTGTTACTAGAACATATTCTCATCTCTTTTTTCATTTAAACTAAAATTCAAATGGTATCAAAGTAAAATATTTGGCTTATGGTTCAAACTTTTACTTTAATTTCTATTATACATACCTACCAATTCTATCCTTCTATTTTAGGCAGCTTTTGATGGTTAAAAACAAAATAACTAGTAAGTGAATCTGGAGAAAATTCTTCATATATTGCTAAATAAAATAAGTACCTTTACTGTGGGAAAGCCTTGCTGTGTTCTATCCTTTACTGAGCCACGGCTACCCTCTGTCAGGTACCGAGCTCGATGCTGGGTCTCAGGTTGTACAACTATTTTCAGCTCCTTTCCCTCACTTTTAACAGGATACTGTCCACACAACATAGGGCTTTTCTTTACTCCAGATCCTTTTTGGTTTTCCAATGTTCTGAGAAGTCAAAGCACAACATGGAAAAAGCATCAAAAAGTGTTTTCTACAAAAGTCATCTAAGATAAAGGAAGAAACAGAATAGCAATAACATTAAAAACAACTGATTATCTTTCTGACAGAATAAAATACAAACTCAGGGAAGATATATAGAATGTATATGTGTGGTAGGAGGAAGGAAGACTGAATGCAATAAACCAGGAATAACAGGAAAGAATACAGCTAATGTCACTATAACCTTTCATATTATACTCAGTGAAAATAAAAATTTTAAATTACATATATATGTGCATGTGTGTATAAGAGTGTTATATAAAACTACAAGATTAACTATCATTATTTCCAAGTCAGACTTGCAAAACAAAAGTGGGAGTAGCAAAAAGAAACAAAAAAACCAAAAGGCCTTAAAAAAACAACTGAAGGTACATGTAGAATATTCTTTTGGATACCTTTCTCAGGATATCAAACTGAAAAAATTATAATAAAAAATAAGTGATTCAATTTTTATTGGGAATTAGGTTTATTCTAAACAGTCTTTCCCAGAAGTGTAACTTTTTAGAGCATTTTTACTTGTGATTAAATAATTAACACCATTAACATAAAAATTTTATAATCTAGGCTTTACAGATAGGCAATCTTTTTTTTAATGTTTATTTTGTTTATAATTCATTTTCTATGTGGACTATATATTAAAAAATATATATTTTAAATGGTGGTTAGGACTTCAGGTCAACACAGGTAATCTGAAGCACCACAAATATGTGATGAAAATAAATAGAAAACAATATTGTTAGTTCTAAAATACATTGAAACTATCCATGTACATTTTAAAATAGAACCTAAAATGCTTTCTGTATGACTCTCCCAGTCCTAAGTTTACACTCACATTGAAGATACAGAAGCCAAGAAAAGATGACTAGATAAAAATCTCCTCTAAAAGCAAACAGGTCCCAGGAGAAATATTATGACTTCAAACAGAGGAGTAATGGGGGCTAGCAGACTTAAAACTGGCTCGAATATTTATCCCTCCAGCTTTAACCAAACTGTTGCCTCAATTATCAATAACAAAGAGAGGAAAGGTTGTACTCTCAATGGAACCAAGTACTAGAGTGAAACCCATGGCTAAGAAAGGTACAGTACAATGGAGGAAAGAAGGGATGCAAAGAAAAGGAGTAAGACTGACTGGGTAAGAGGGAGAGTTCTGAGGGCAAGTATAGTGTTCAGTCATCTTCATAATTCCCTGAACCTTGAACAATTCCTGAAATATCAGGTCCTGAGAAAAATATTTGTTGATGAAGGCAAATAGGAAGAAGAAAGGAACAACAAAAAAAAAGAAAAGTGAAAAAGGAGCTTCTATAATAGTAAAATGAGAAAGACTGGATCTTAATTGGCCAAGAAATGTCATTCACATTAAGTCTAACATAATTAAGCCAAAGATTACTTGTGTAAGTCATTTAAAAGGCCCTGGGTGAATAAATTCTATGAAAAAGTCCTTAGTTGAAGCTGATAAATGGGCAATAAATCCTCTTTTTTTTCCCCAACATTCTGGGTAGAAATTCAAACATTTGCTCTGAATGCAATGTGCAGTCCCTTACACATACAGAATGATATTCTGTTTTTCACTTATTTTAAAATCAAAGCAAAAAATATTCACTTACTGAAACTATGTAAAAACATCTCCCAAATGTGCATCAAAAGGGACTAAAAGAAAATACAGCAAAATGCTAATAGCAGTTGTACTGAGCAACTAGATTATGGGTTATTTATTTTCTTCTATTTTTCTATATTTTTCAAATTTTTAAATTAATATCTACTAATTTTATAATAGAAAAGGGAACACTTTACTTTGACATATAAGGAAAATTTGGCATATCAATTAATTTGGCAAAATATGACTTTTATATTCACTTATGATAGCCAAGCTAATATTTATGAGAATAAATAGTTGATAATGAGTTTTACTATTTCAGTAAACAAAATATTTCATTTGGGTGAATACTGTTGAGTGAGTTGACAAAGTATACACATTATGGCTTAAAAAAGAATAGCACATGTAATTAAACAATTTCTGAAATGATACTTTAAAAAGCCCTTAAAAATATCTTTATTCTCTAGGTTTAAATGTAAAAAAGAATACATACACATGTAGATCTCTAGACATGTAAAACAATTGAAAACATCAAATAATTCTCAGAAAAGTAGTCATTCAAACTATTAATTTCTAAGGCACGATGACTTAAGAAAAAAAACAAGAAAGCAGCAGTTTACTTGTATGGGATTTTACTTCTAAATCACATCTAAAAAGAAAATCTACTGTCTTGACATATTCTATTCAGATCTTAAAATGACATTGTAATTCCTTTGTGCTGCATATCCTGTTGTCTATGTCACAAAAATAATTTTTACTACAAAATGTCTAAAATAGGTTTCACAATCAGATGACATATCTTACTTTCTAGGACTATCTAGAAGAGACATGGGGCTACTGATTCTCAACATTTAGTTGACGAATTTAAGAATGATATGGCTAGGAATATTTAAATACTGAGGTTTTTTTTAATGGTTTTGTTTCTCCTAATAAACTCTTTTATATAACATTTTAATTATACTAAAATACTATTTCCATCTTAAATATCAATAAACTGCTGTACACATAAATGAGTACATTTCCTAATAATTTAGCATTATATAAATTGTAAGTTTATGGCACATTAGATCTAAGGCTTTATACCTTTATCTCTTAAAACTTTTCTAAATATCTTTCATGCTTCTAATATCTTTCTTGTTGAAGAATCTAGGACTTTAGCTTGAGATCCTCTTAATAATTTTGTTCAAAGGACTATTTTTCTATATATTTACATATGGTTTTATCTTTTCCTTGATATAATTCTTAATAATTCAAAATTTAAACTTCTTCCATCATTTCCATATGCTAGAGTCAAATATTTTTCCATTACCTAAGAAGCTGGACATTTCTTCTGCTGCTTGATGAGTTTCAGTTCCATGAATTATTTCATGAGAGATTTTGTCTTGACAAATGTTATTATACTTTCCCTGGGTAACCTCAAATCATTTCTAAGATATATCTATCATACAAAAGCAGAAGCAGAAAAGATGTAGGTCAAGATATCTCTTTAACAGCAACTGCAAATCATGTGTGTTGACTAACTCTAAGTCAAAATTTTATTCATTCTTCATTTGAAACTTTAACATTTATTTCAGTATAAAAATAAAAATCTCTCTTCTGGAACTTATAAAAAAAACTTTATCCATTGAAACCCACATACCTGTATTTAATGACAGATATACCTAAGCCTTTTGGATCCGTGCTATTATGTTTCAGGTCATTATTCTATAGGTAATAGTTCTACAAATATGTTCTAGAATTCTTGACTCTGCCAATGAAAACATTTTAGGAAAGGGTATACCTTGTTTTCTTTTAGATAATTTCCTAATTTGGACTTTCTAAAAATGAAAAACATTTCAATGTGCATTTTCATTTAACTGCATCACTTCAAAGGAGTTTTAAATAAGAGTAGAGAAGCAAGTAGTATAGAATAATTATTGCTTAAATGGTAGATATTACTTTTAAAACGTAGAGAGAATATTTAAGGACGAGTTTAATATACAGTAAAAATATTCTCTATACTACTCAATTAGATTTTTAAATTAGAAGATATCAATGATGTCATCAAGTAGTAAACCAACTGAAAGCTTCTCTATCACCTTTTGACAACCTAAAATTGTATATCCTGGGTTAACTAAAGAACCACATACCCTGTTTCCCAAAAAAGTAATCTCTCAAAATGCAGTGAGTTAAATTTTATCAAACTATATTGAATATACTGTAGGAAAATCTAATCGAAAGTCTAGCAATTAAAAATTAATTAAAAACTTAAAAATATATTTCTTAGTATAGCAGTGAATATTCTGTTATATAATATAGCTATAGAAATATATTTAGTGAGTGTTGTGAACTAGCACAAATGAATAAAAATTCAAACGTACCATGATCCTGTTCTATCACCCTTCAAATACATACCCAGAATCATAGAAAAAAAATATTAGTAATATTATTTTTTTTAAATCCCCAATCAGCACAATGTATCAAAGAAAAAGCTTAACATGATTCTAAATGATGAGAAACAAACCATCAATTTATTTTTTTCTTACTTTCATCAAATAAAAGAAAAATAAAGTATAAAATCCTCACAAAAATGGAAATGAACTGAACCATATAGGGAGATAATGTGAAAGAACACAAACTAGCCTTTTGTGAATGTTTTGAGTTGTTTTAGCTGGAGCCATTACATGCTAGTTACTTCTATGAGTAAAAATATTCTTAAATCCTTTTAAAATATAAATCCATTTGAAATTTAAAAGTTATTTCAAAACAGATTATTTTCATTTTCTACTACTTAATCATGCCCTTAATAAGATACCTATTGCTAAAAATCTAGATATTTTGTTTTTTCTCTAATGAAACTTGGTAATTTTAAGTTAAAATTCTCATGTATTTCAATGATAAAATTAGTATCTGCTTTATATGCAAACTTGAGCTGAACAGTGGGGGATGATTTTTTTTTTTTGGTTTGTTTTGCATAATGGTGATAGAACTTAAAAAAATGTGAATACCAACCCATTTCCTGCTTTTGAGTTGCCTTTGTTGTCCGTGGTAAGCTGAGAAAGCACATAGTGAGGTGCTTTGGCACTGTCGGCATCAAATATATCCATATTAGATTCTTCACAATCTCGTCGTTTGACCCCCGGCCTCTGCTTTGGATTTCGTTTTCGTGATTTACGAGGTACCTCAGTGTTATCATTGTAGGAACTGGTGCTCATATTACTGAAGTTGGAGGGGGAATCCTCCATCCACATACTGCAGCTCTGCTCAGATTCCAATCCACACCCCTCATCCTGGCAGGACATCCGACTGTTATCCAGCAAGTCCTCAGGTGGTGGTGAGATGTACAAGACTGTGTGCCTCTTCGGTGTTGATGGATGCTGCTGAACTGTGTTACTGGTTAACTGCTTTTCACTTACCCCTCTGTTACTTACCCCCAAGGCTGAGGAGCAGCTCTCCACTTGCATAGCCTTGCTGTCGGTGACTGAGGTAGAATAAATGGTAGGGCTGGAAGAGGTGGTAAAGGAGCTGCAAGCACCGCCCATGGAGGAAGAGGAGGGAGCTGAAGAAGCATCTGCAGTGTACAATTTAAGAGTAAATACACTATACATGTTTTCACCTATGCTGGCTAGCAGTCCCATTGAAAATGTGATTTGTGAACTGATTGTTTTTCCCCAAAATGAATAGTTGGAATTTGGTTAAGTTTTAGAATATAAATGCTTCAAGCAATACAAGGCCTAAAAAATGCATTTTTTAAAAATGCCCAAATAGCATTATTTTACTTGTATTATAATCGATAGATTTTTAAAAATCTAATTTAATGTTTTAAGCTGTAAAGCAAGAATAAAGCTTTTATTGCCTCAGCTGGATGTTCTGCTGAATTTTAATCATTTAAAATAATAAAGAAAACCCCAATATAAAATATATGCTTGTGGTCCACATTCAATGCCAATTAAATAATTCATTATAGAATTTGAAAAGTGGGACTGTGCTTAGCCACAAAATATTAAAATAAGTTTCTAACCTATGAAGCAGAGAACTACAGGTCATTTTTAATGCAGACACTCCCTGCTTCAGAGGCAAATCCTGGAATAAAAATATGAGAAAATAAATGAGAAAAGAGCTGCTGATTATTCCAGATATCAATTATAAAATGAGAAATAAATAGAAAAAATATATAATCAACTGAATTGGAGGCAAAATGGAACTGGTACCGTCACTATGATTGTTATAAAATCTACAAGAATAAAAGTGAAAAAGGTTTGATTTGGAACATGCTGGGCAGCAGAAGATAAGCAAGGTAACCATTGAGGGTCTCCAGAAGTTGGAAGTGGCAGTTCAAAACCATGACTTCTAAAATAAACAAATCCATCCTAAATGGCAGAATGAAAAGCAAAGTAAGGACTGATTATTGGATGGATATCTCTTATAAAATACTTCATTACACACTTAGCAATTGGTTACCACTGTCCATTTCCTCTCTTTAAAGGACCTGCTTGATTTTAAACTATTAAAGGAATTTCCTAATATGATAACAGTATATTTTATTGGCTGGGATCTAACAACGAAAATTCAACAGGAAGTATCTCTGGAGAGCAACAGAATTAGTTACTATAAAAAGGTATTTTATAAAACCATTTATCTATTATGCTTAGCAAAAAAAGATTTAAGTAGATCTTTTTAAAATGTGTGGCAACTGGCAGAACAGCTCATTGAAAAATACTACTACTTTAAATCCTTAACAGCATAACCTCAGAGGCACACTAATAATGTTAAGGCTGGAAGTTGTCAGTCCTAAAATTTTACAAATACCATTTTATCTTGTATAAGACACGGGAAGGTTTACAATCATACACACACACAAAATAAAAATAGGTAACATGACAGACAACTAGGATATGTTTAAATCTAAAATTAATTAAATTTTTTTTTTTTAGCTGAGCCATCCCGCCACCTGTTGGCAGCTCAGCAGCAGCTCAGCTTGGGCTGGGAATCGAACCGCTGTTGCTCAGAGCTCACACTCTCCAGGGAGCTCTTAACCAACTGAGCCACTCAGCCGGCCCCTAAAATTAATTTTTATTTATAGTCAAGTGTGCCACTGTTTTAAAGTGGTATGATGAAACTTAAAACTGTGATGTGCAGTTATTGGAACTGCAACATTCATAGCAATTATAATATAAAGACTGAAATGTAGGAATGCCACTATTTAGATAATCAAAAGCCAAGTGCCAAAGATCTATTTTTAAATTAAAAACATGTACCAAAACACTTAAATCAGTTGAAAGAACTAAATTCACTCATAATTTTTCATTACTTTCAAGGCTAAAGAGCATAGTAATTAATATTAGCATCAATAATGTGACCTACATAATGCCACATGGAAAGATTTCCCCAACTACCATAAGTCAAAGAACCTGGAGCACTTAGATGATACCAGTTCCATTTTCCAGTTTGTATCCTTGTCAAATTCAGTAGCTGAAATTGGAAAATTCAGTCACTTTAAACTGCATTCCAATTTAAAGAAAAATTTATAAATTTTGTATCATGCATTAATGCAATGTCTTCTTAGTAAATAAATATTTTTAAAGATTTGTAAAAACTACAAAATCTAGATGCTAATGTCAGTGACAGTTTAGGAGCTGATTTGTAGCCACTTTGGGTTTAAATAAGTTTTTTCCTTGTTTTCTGAAAAACACAACAGAATTCATTTTAGAAAAATAGAAAAGGTATTATGTCTAATATTCCTCCATCTGTTCCAACTATTGGCAAAAATGAAACCAAATTTTTATGTGTGTATGAGCCTATTTTTCATTTTCAGAGAAATACAAGTATGCAGCATGCAATATTTGCAGTGGAACACACAAAGCATGCAGCATGAATGCTGTGAACTTGTATTTCTATAAACACCTTTCCCCCACCCACCGTTTTTGAATCTAAGTACCATGCACATGAGAATGCAGAATATGAACATCTCAGGGATCCCTGTCCTTGACAGATGGAAAATACATGTGGAAAGCAATTATGAACCCAAAAGCAAGTTATGTGGAGCTTATTAATTTAATATGCAAACTATAGTAACCTAGCATTGCTCTTTGAGGTATATATAAATTTAGCTTGCAAATCTTATCAAAACAATTATGGTTATAAAACCCAATTGATATAATTACATATAAATGTCTGTTCTGGGACAGGTATGCCAAACTGTGATCTCATACCCTACATAAATTAAAATATTCTATATATTTTCCTTGGACACCTAACACAATTTTTATATTTTACCTGCAGTTTCCTGGATATAGTTATTAAATTAAAAAGTGCATTAGTAAAAAATATGAAACTGAAAACATAAATTCTGTCAGAAGACAGCAGTAAGCATCCTTTAATTAAAGCCTACCTCAGTTTGATCTTAAATTGCAAAGACTGTATTCATTTTAAGACTATAAATGAGACAATTTTTTTTAAACTATAAAACTCTTACCACAGTATCACTGTTGCTCTGATGATGATAATATGTAATATTATAAAATCTTTCATATAAAGATGTTATATTCTGGTTAGCAAGACATCAACTAAGTGTATTAATACTGGTGAGGTGGTGAAGTGGAGGATGAGAATTAGGAGCCCTTTGAGAGCACGGACAATATCTTTTGCATCTTAGACTATCCCAACACCTAACATAGTGTGTTATTTGTTATTTAATTCATTTATGGGAAGCCATATTTGATACGTGCTGAATTATATTAAAGTTAAATTGGCAAATAAATGTACCAATGTGTTCATAATCGATATGACACATCAGATTTTTTTAAAAAGGATTTACTACTCAAAGTACTTATACTACATATTACTATAATAGTACTACTTGATAATAGAGAAAGGCTTAGAAGAAACTGAAGAGTTTAGAGGTAACTATTTGCTATTTCTACAAAGAGCGTGCTAACTTTCTTTCTTGAAACTACATATAAGCCAAATGACCTACTTGTCTATTAACCCATAAATTTACGAAGAATAAAAACTCCTTAATATTATCCATTAAAAAATAAATGCACAAAAATAACATGAAGTACATTTTAGAATTCTAAACACTAATTTTTCATTTCTAAGCATTCCCAGAAAGCACTAAACAACAATCCTGGAAATATTGTAAATGTACTTAAAGTATCTACAAAGACCTTTCAGTCACTATATCATTAAATATCAAGAAAGAACTTAATTGACATTCTATAGAACTAAAATAATAATGCAATCCTGCCTCATCTATACATTCTTTTTTATTAAGTTCTTATAAAGAAAATATGCTGTCTACCTCTCCCTACTTGTTTTTGTTTTGAGTCTGCATTTTTATCTATTAGGAATGTAGAGACTATGTTTAATTGCTGGATTTTAAAATTACAAAAACTCCAACATAAAAATGTTTTAGTAAATTTTTATTTTCTCGCTAAGCAGAATAGTCATAATGTGTTTCCATTTTATAACTTTTTAATCTTATTTGTCCTTTAAATCCCTTATCAATCCTTCATAAAGATGGAAGTTTTTCTTAAATTTGTTCTTAAACTTATTCTCTCACCTAAATAACATGTGAATAAATTTTTATTGATTTTTACCTTTAATGAAAAAGTTATCTTTGAATTTAGAAGAATTTTATTTTTCCACAGTATTTTCTGTGATCACAGAGAACACAGCAAACCAAAGGGAAAACCAATAGACCACTTCTATAACTTACTAATGTAAATTTATAATCTCAAAAGAATAGATTACTTCTAAGATTTATA